GCTGCATGAAAATTAAAAGGCAAATACAGGACCACCACATCATAGTCCCTCCCCTGACAAATCACACTATCAAATATCATGAAACTCAATTAAAAAGCTAGAACGAGCCTTAATACAAAATTTAACCTTAGCTTTTATGGGTTGTTTTAAATGAAAATATAAAAACAAACACAACACAATATTTCAATCATGTACCTTTATGCAAATGATTTCCCCTGTTTTGCTTATACGTGCTGTGGATTTTTCCTGATGTAAATACTGATTTCATTTTAATTTACTCTCTTTCTCTGCACTGCAAGCTGCAGAAATCCAGTTTGAAAATACCAAATTTGGTTTAACCCTCAAGATGAAAAAAAAAAAAAAGTATCCATTTCCACGGCTCTGACTTTGCCCACATTCTTGGTTGTGATTCTCTGCGCAAGGCTGGTGGATCAGGCAGGCTCTGCACGATTTTTACAAGATAACTCCAGCCAGAGTGAGGCTTTAGAAAGTCCATCTTAACAAGCAATTTGGGAAAATACATCACATTTTTTACCCACCATATTAGTTTAAGTAGCCTAGTTAGTCAAATGACCCTGTTAAAGATCTATTTACAGAAAGGCTATTTCCTAAGCTAACAGAGATACAGATAATAAAATTCAATAATTACAGCAGAAATATGTGTTTTGTTGTTGTTGTATTCCAGTCAACAGCTTTAGTAAACTGTCTTCAGAAAATTACAATTTTTTTAAAAAAAGTACTGCTTGAAAAAGGTTTGATAAAGGACAAAGTGTGATTATTATTATTTTGAAAATAATATCCAATTATGTTCTGCAAGTTATACTCTACCACTGTCAGATAACTAGTGAAGGATGAAGAAATGCCAACTGCCACGGTTTACATACATTTTACAGCACCTATGTTACTTCTTAAAACCCACAATAGCATGAAGCATTTTTATTTTTTTATTTTGAGACAGAGTCTCGCTCTGTTGTCCGGGCTAGAGAACGTCAGCCTAGCTCACAGCAACCTCCAACTCCTGGGCTCAAGCGATCCTCCTGCCTCAGCCTCCCGAGCAGCTGGGACTACAAGCAAGCACATCCATGTCCCGCTAATTTTTTATATATATGTTTCTTAGTTTTCCAGCACAGTTCTTTCTATTTTTAGTAGAGACAGGAGTCCTGCTCTTGCTCAGGCTGCTCTCCAACTCCTGACCTAGAGAGATCCTCCCGCCTCACCCTCCCAGAGTGCTAAGATTACAGGCGAGAGCCACCATGCCTGGCCATGAAGTCTTAACAAACACAAATTTTAATTTCTGAACACGACTCCAGTAACATTTGTAATGGTAGAGGAAAAATTAGGAACTTGATTTTTGGATTCCTGGTCTACTTCATTAAAATGTAATCTTTTTTTTTTTTTATTTTTTTGAGACAGAGTCTCACTCTTTAGCCCCAGCTAGAGTGCCGTGGCATTAACCTAGCTCACAGCAACCTCGATCTCTTGAGCTCAAGCGATCCCTCTGCCACTGCAATTCGAGTAGCAGGGACTACTAAAATGTGATCTTCAAAAATTGTTTTAGGTGGCTTCAAGCCTACTAAGTAAGGTTAGGATAAATGCATTGCTTCTTTCCAGAGTAAAGAATGCCATTTTAAAACAACACAATTGCTATGACATAAATTTTTCAGGTATAGCCTCAATTGAAAACATTAGAACATTTAAGAATTCTAAATATTGGTATAACACCACTGCACCAGAATTTCTTTTATTATTCCAAGGACTATAGGGAATTTTTAAAGAGTTTTTCATGTTACTCAAATTAAACTCCTATAAAATAACTGACTTACAAACTATAACAAGAGTCCAAAGATTTATACAGAGATATCAGTTCCTCCTAAAAAATAGAATATTCACATCCTGTCATTGAAATTTTTCTGAAGTTATGTTACTGATTTCATATAGAATGTTAAATTAGCCTTAAAATGGAAACAAACAAAAGGACTAGTTACACTGACCAAAACTACTAATATGCTCAAATTTTCTGACAGAATCATAGGTACATCATAGGATATTAATAAATAGTCTCTAAGACGTTTTAAGTAAAATAAAAAAATTGCAAGGCTAGTGTTTCCCCTTGGAAAAACACACAGCCACTTTTTTTGGTTTGTTTTGTCATTTGTTGCTGTTGATGTTTTGTTTCTTGACAGAGTCACTGTGTCACCCCAGGTAGAGAGCAGTGGTGTCATAATAGGTCATTGCAGCAGCCAACTCCCGAGCTCCAGCGATCCTCCTGCCTCAGTCTCCCAGAGTGCTGGGATCACAGACATGAGCACCGAGCTGGCCTAGGAGCCACTTTGGACCAGGTGCTCCCCCCAAATACAGGCATGTTCCCCCATAGCCCTAGCGGGACGTGTTCCGCCCACAGGACAGTTCAAGGGCTCCCTGTGATTCCGTCCTCTGGGCCTGGCCACAGGGACCTGGCAGGGAGGCGGCTCACACACAGCGTCACTTCTGTCATAACTTTTTCCCGACTTCCTGAGACCGCCTCCCTCACAACCAGGCATCTCAAGCAAAAGTGCACTGTGAGTCCAGGAGAGCCGGCAGCAAACGGAAAGGTGAGAACAATGGAAATAAAAGTAGAAATGGTTAAGCATTAGGAGAAAGGCCAGACTCCATCCTTCTTGGCAAAGTATCAGGCTCCAGTTGCTCAACTATTGGAAGAATTAGGAAGAGTAAGAGGAAATAAGGGAACATGTGAAAGAGCTCCAGGGAAAGCAGCAGTCACTACTGAGCAGGATCGTGGATTCATTACTGAAATGGAAAGGTCATTACTGATTCGGTCAGAAGATCAAAACAAGCGTGACATTCCTCTTCACCTAGCGTTGATGCCACACTAGGTGAGTGTCAACATTTAATATTCTTCTTTTGGAATTTCTCTATCTCCTATGTAAACTTTTTGTATGAGTTTGTCTTTATGTTCTGTTTGTTTGCATTAAAGCAAGAGCACGATAGTTTTTGTAATGTATTATTAGAGTACAGGGTGTTGCTATCACAGTATCACACTGCACTATTCTTACCACACTGCGCCCTTACAGTGCTGTTGTCACTGCCTGTGTGCTGCTCTTCCGGGATCTGAGTTCATACAAACCCAACCTAACGGCGTTCCCAGGACAGTGTCTCTTCCAATACGCAGGGACCATGCATACAATGTGAGTTTTAAAAGAATCAGTAATTTCAGTTTGATAATTACCTTGAAAAGGTTCAGGTCTGCATTATGGAAACTTTAAGCATTTTCACATGTAGAAGAGGATGTACTGAATAATCAGGGTCAACTACCAAAAGGATGAGGGAGACAACTTCAGATGAGCAATTTCAAGGCTCCATTTTCTTTTTTCACTAATGTACCACCTATACACCATATAGGAGAAAAGAATGAAAAGTCATAGAGTATAATTTTGAATTTTCCTATGAAACCATAAATTCATTATGAATGCTCATGTTTTATCTTTCAAAGGTCTCGCAGGCAGGGCAGGGTGGCTCAAGCTTATAATCCTAGCACACTGGGAGGCCAAGGCGGGAGGATTGCTTTAGCTCAGGAGTTCAAAACCAACCTGAGCAAGAGCAAGAGCAAGACCCTGTGTCTTGGCCGGGCGAGGTGGCTCACGCCTGTAATCCTAGCACTCTGGGAGGCCGAGGCGGGTGGATCACTCAAGGTTAGGAGTTCGAAACCAGCCTGAGCATGAGCGAGACCCCGTCTCTACTAAAAATAGAAAGAAATTAATTGGACAACTAAAATATATAGAAAAAATTAGCCGGGCATAGTGGTGCATGCCTGTAGTCCCAACTACTTGGGAGGCTGAGGCAGGAGGATCGCTTGAGCCCAGGAGATTGAGGTTGCTAGGCTGACGCCACGGCACTCACTCTAGCCTGGACAGCAAAGTGAGACTCTGTCTCAAAAAAAAAAAAAAAAAAAAAAAGACCCTGTGTCTAGCAAAAGAATAGAAAGAAATTAGCTGCACAATGGAAAATATATACACACATAAAAAAAGTTAGCCGGGCATGGTGGCGCATGCCTGTAGTCCCACCTACTCGGAAGGCTGAAGGAGTACAATTGCTCAAGCGAAGGGGTTTGGTGTTGCTGTGAGCTAGGCTGATGCCAAGGCATTCTAGCCCAGGCAACACAGTGAGACTCTGTCTCAAAAAACAAAACAAAAAAAAAAGTTTAAGTCAATAAGGAGAAATACAAATCAAAATGATTTTTAAAAAATTAAGAAATTATGAACTGAACAAGCATATTTGGAAATAAATGAGGCAGAAATTCAACAACAAAAATAAATAAATTCAATGTACAATGTTTGGGTTAAAAATTTAATGAGACTGAACTCAGGAAAGGATTAATGAGAAAGAATGAGAAGGATGAAAATCATCAAGTAAAACTAATAAAAATACCAATATAATTATAGATCTATAAACATAGAGAAGAGAAAATAATTTAATTTTGCCACTAAAGTACAAAACACAATGATTACAATAATCAAATAAATGATTTACTAACCTCTAAAATTGAAACCCAGACATGTATCCATAAAAGCAAAATAGCACTGTTTATAAAAGAAAGAAATACTCCAGTAAAAGTCCAACTGCATAGCACCGAAGAGAAAACAAAATAAAAATCTGTGAGACAGGACAGAGAGAAGCCACAAGGATGAAAGCAAAATCTGCACAGCTTGAGTAGACACAGAAAACAGAAATAAACAAAAAGTGCTGAAAGAATTTATTGTTCAACCTGTAACTGGATACTTAGCTAGAATATCTTTCACAAATAAGGATACTCAAAAATACTTTCAGAAGTAAAAAAGAAATAAATATAAAGGAAAATATGGATAAATTTTATAACCAATAGGAGTTTCTTAAGTATACACCTCAAAAAGATAGAAAATTTCTATGAAGAACAGAGAATCAAAAGGAAAATTAACAAACTTCTAAAACATGAAACACTAAAGTGTGGTGGAAACTACACTAAAGGAACCACAAAGTCTTTTCCAGCATCTGTTTCAAAATACTTAGCTGTAACAAAAGTGCAATTTTACATGTTTTAAGTAAATCAAATAACAAATTCTCTGTTACTTGAATAGTTTGCCTGATGGCAGAAACACCCATTTTTCAGAGACTTATTTTTATTATTTTGTTAAAAACCTATAACCTTCCTGTTGCATATTTTGCAGAGTACTGATTATAGTTTTATCAAAAACGATTATCACTAAAGGACTCACTGTGGCATAGACATTGACCACAAGAGTCTGGACAGCCAGCACGGCGGGGCCGTATGCCAGCAACACTATGGAGCAGAAAGAGATGATGAGGTCCATCCAGTACATGACCACAAAGAAACTCACCAGGAGCAGGATGATCTGGGTGGCCCTTTTCTCCGGGGAGATGCTCGGGGAGAGGGACATGTTGTGCAGGTGCTGGGATTGCCTCTGATGCCTGAACAAGAGAGTCACCATGTACACACTCGAGAGCAGCATGCCGCCTACAAAGGAGATGTCTCTCACTTGTGTCAGCATGAAAAACAGGATCCACCTGAGGTAGCTTGCAGAGGAAAGTGAGCAGTATTTACCAAAACTCAGCACTTGGGTCTGGGTCACATTAGAAGCAGCTATGGTCATGAAGAGCAGGTTACTACACAAGGACAAATTGAGAATCCATAGAAAGAGTAAGGAATGGATGACGTAGTGTCTGGATTTCTGTTTGAACCGGCCCAACCAGGAGGAGCTGGGGCTGATGGTGACGGCCTGGAGCATGCTCAGGAGGCAGGTGGTGCAGATGGACAGGCCCCGCATCACCCTGCTCAGGAAGAACAGAGCCTTACACTTGATGTCATTCTGAAAACGCAGGGACTCAAACGGGCCTGAAGAGAAAAACAGCATGGTGAGCAGCATCAGTATGTGGACAAGGGCCAAGTTACCAGTGAGCAGGTCGTGGGGCTTCAGCCTGTGATCCAGAAAGAGCGTGAGGGTGCGGAAGAGGAGGAGGAGGGTATTGGCTGTGAGTCCAATGCCAGCTTGCAAAAAAAAAGGCATTTTTTAATGCTAACATAAGTGAAAAGTGATTGTTTTAATGCCAGCGAGAAAATATTTTTTATATCTGGAAAAAATTAATAGATACATCATCAATTTTTTTTGTTCAGTACTCTAATTACCCATCACCACTATTTCTACTTCACCTAGTTATTATTTTTTTTTTACAATTTCCATGTCATGCAAAATTCTTAGGGTTTAATAAACCTGATTTTGTAATACCCCTGATTATTCCATATAAATTATCGAAAATATAGGCTTAATAATATTTTCTATACAAAATAACACAAACCTGTATGTTTGTATGTATATAATTTATATATCATGTATATATTATATAAATATCCCACCAACATATCTACAAGTTTGCCCCAATGTAGTGCCCACTATGTATGCTTCTATGTGACTTGGGCCTCTCTGTTTCCAAAATATTACTTTATTCTTCAGTATTCTTTCACGTAATATTTAGACTCTGAAGACTGCTGGGCATTAAGATTACTCAATATGATTTTTAAAGCTGAACTGAATGACATTTTATGCTCCACAAAAAATTTAGAAAAAAACCCATTTGCATCTTACAGCACATCACCTTCACACCTTCTATTTTCATCTGTCTTTCATGTTTATGGAAATCTATGCTTGTCGCCTCCCCCGTGTGATAATCCAGAAGATCTTCCTCTTTTATGTAAGAAGATTATTATCAAGGTGGATTTCATTTGCAATCTTATTTTTCTTTTCCATAAGATCTAACATATTCCCAAGGACTGGAGATTTAGGATACATTTTGGGGGGAGGCATTAGTTCACTTACCACAAGTCCTTTTAATGGTATTTCCTCGAAATGACCGTCTGTCTCAGTTTAGTTTCCAATCCAGACATATCACACGCAGACTCACTTCATCTTAGAAGTGGATTGCTAAAGTCCAGCTCTCAATTATAACAAGAACCACATTTATCCATTATATGACATCCATAGACATGCATCAGAATACTCATATTATGTAACCAAAGTATTTGTGTTCCCATAATGCCCTGAAATTAAAGACAAGAATAATCACATAGTGGTCCCTTCATTGATACTTCACATAATGTACAGGCAGCCTCCCATGCCAGAAAATGTATTTAAATTTTCAATATAGCATACTTCCCTTCAAGTTTTTATCAGGATATCACCAAAATCATAACACTTTACACAATTTCCCTAGGTAATTTTGCAGGTATTATCTCATATTTGTCCTGGATGCAGGCATCATTACTTTATGAAATTAGTTTAATATACTGCTTAGAAGACATCAAGAATATGAGAGGAAAAAATGGAAAACCACCACAATCACTCAGATTCCTCTGAGATGGGAGAATGTTCCATCATGTGTCCAAGGACACTTCTAATCATAGCAGCCCGTGAATGTGAATGTGTATGACAAGGCAGAAACGCTGATGGTTTGTTTTATTGGCTCAGACTCGGAAGTCTATGACTAAAGCAGAACACTGATGTCAGACGCTTGACACGTAGGACTTTATAAAAGAGAAATCACTTATTTGACTTAATAGTTGCTACCCTTTCTCCAAAAGGTGGCACTATCAAAATGGCACATGTGTCTTGACTGCCAGAACCAACTAAACAAATGATAGTCACCAACAACGTAGACCTCCAACCTCAGTGTCACACCCCAGTGGATGTAAAATAGTATTCATCGGTGGACTACTAATATATAAATAATTACATATTAACTATATATCTGAGCAATTTCATTGGTAGATCACGTTTTGTAAGTCATAACCAAAAAGATAATTAAATAATTTTATACAATGTGATAGAGAATAATTTCAATATTTTCTTCCTTTACACCATGGGGTATCTGGCTCTCTCCCCCCAAGTCTATGCTGCTCACCCTGTAAATGGCCACCACATACAGATAAAGAGCAGATCTTCTGGGCTGTCAAGTAATGCCTTACTCTCTGCCATGCATTTGTGATGATTGCTAAGGTATAATTATCTGTATTAAAACTTTTCAAAAGTTGTCTCGGCTGCCAGAATACAACAAATGACACTTGATACTAAAATATATCTTCTCCATAAAAAGGTATTTGTTGTTGATTCAAATTATTATCTTAGCCCTGTGTCCTGTATATTACATAAGGTGTCTTCAAACCTAAAAGAACAAAGAAGTATGACTAAGTCATTTTGAATTTGTTCAGATTTCCTGCATTATAAACAGTAAATTTTCACTTAATTCAAGGCAGCAACTTCAATTGGTAAAAATTAGTAAATAAGACATCAAACACAATTCCAGTTCAAGTACAACATCACAAAACTATGAAAGTTCCTTAAAAATTCTGTAATTTAATGGCCTCATAAGATCTATAAAACTGATCTTTCATTTGGAAAAGTCTGCTAGATTTACTCACAATTCATTGAGATTTGACTGAAATTAGGAGGAGACAATTCTCCCAGCTCTTCGCTGAGACAATCCTGCCTCCTCCCCTCCCTCCTCCCCCAGGCCTTCAGCTCTCACCGCTGCTGAAGCAGAGAGACACACACTCACCCAGCTGAGTCTGCCGCGGGAGTCTGTGCCTGAGACAGGCCGAGACATGGTTATGAGGAAGGGGCGCCACCAGCTCCTCTCCCCCAAGGCCCGAGATTGTCATGTCATCTGTGGAGTCAGGACGGCCCTCGCCTTGGGATTGCTGGAAAGGGGAGCCCACAGGGGAAATTGAACTCCTAATTCCTGGAAAACAGCAGGTGAGGAACAGCTGGGCTGCAAACTTCCCTGTGAGCTCCTTGTCCTGATCACCAGCCTGGTGGGTTGGGAGTCTCCAGCTCACCCTGATGCAAACACGAGTAGATGCCCCTCCCAGTTCTCAGTGTGTCCCCACCGGGCAGGGGATTCCCGGTGTCTTCACACGTGCCCTCAGTGACCTCTGGCTGTGAGGGTCAACACTAGATGACAAACAGCTTTGAAAGAGTAAGGACGATGCCACCTCTGCCACAGGGCCTCGTCCTCCAGAGGACACAGGGCACTGCCGTGGGGGCAGAAGGCAGGAGCAACGTCAGCTAGGCCTTGGAATTGCCTTCATCTTGCTTAAATTACAAATATAAGCGAAACATAAATAGGTTCATTTCTGATAAATAATTGTTAGAGATATATAAAACTATAAAATATAAGATAAAAATATAAGTACAAAATAAAGATAAATGAATCCAAGTCTATCACTATATCGAATCACAAAGAAAAATAGCAAGCAGCAAGAACAAAAGAAATGCAAAACAGACAGAAAGCCATTAACAAGGTAGCAATTAGCCCTTATCTACAAATAATTATGTTGTATTTACACCTATTAAACTCAGTAATCACAAGATTTAGTGTTTGAATGGATAGAAAACCAAGATCAAACTATTTACTGTCTACAAGAGACCCACCACTTTAGATTTGGTAGAAGGAAATAAAGATTTGAGCAGGAATTCTTCATTTAAGAAGAAATGAAGTTGTATACCTCAAATATATAATGTTTCTTTCTCAAAAACACCTCCATAAAGCTGGAAAAATAAAAGCAAGTGGTATACATTTTCATTTGTACAAGATGAATAAATGCTAGAGATCTGCTGTACAGCATCTTTCCCATTTTATTTTATACTTTAAAAGTTGCTGAGAGGATAGATCATGTCACAAAACAATAAGAGCGCAGAAGAAAATTTTGGTGTTGTGGCAAGGCACGGTGGCTCACGCCTGTAATCCTAGCACTCTGGGAGGCTGAGGCGGACGGATTGATCGAGGTCAGGAGTTCAAAACCAGCCTGAGCAAGAGGGAGAGCCTGTCTCCCTCTTACTATAAATAGGAAGAAATTAATTGGCCAACTAAGATATATATAGAAAAAATTAGCTAGGCATGGTGGGACATGCCTGTAGTCCCAGCTACTCGGGAGGCTGAGGCAGCAGGAATGCTTGAGTCCAGGAGTTTGAGGGTGCTGTGAGCTAGGCTGACGCCAGGGCACTCACTCTAGCCTGAACAACAAAGTGAGACTTTGTCTCAAAAAAAAAATAAAAAAAATAAATAAATAAAATACCAAATTTGGTTTACCTCAAGATAAAAAAAAAAAAAAATCTACTTCTATTGCTATGACTTTGCCCACATTCTTGGTTGTGATTCTCTGCGCAAGGCTGGTGGATCAGGCAGGCTCTGCATGATTTGTACAAAATAACTCCAGGCAGAGTGAGGCTTTCGAAAGTACCTCTTAACAAGCAATTTGGGAAAACACATCACATTTTTTACCCACCATATCAGTTTAAGTAGCCCAGTTAGTCAAGTGAGCCTGTTAAAGATCTATTTAAGAAAGGCCATTTCCTAAGCTAACAGATACAGATAATAAAATTCAATAACAGCAGAAAAAGGCATTTTGATGTTGTTGTTTTCCTAGTCAACAGCCCCAGTAAACTATCATCAGAAGATTATGATTGTTTTTTAAAAAGTACTGCCTGAAAAAAGTTTGATAAAGAACATCCAAAGTGTGATTCTTATTTTGAATATAATATCCAATTACCTTCTGCAAGTTATGTTCCACCACTGTAAGATAGCTTAGTGAGGCATGAAGAAATGCCAACTGCCATGGTTTACATACATTTTACATCACCTATATTACGTCTTAAAACCCACAACAGCATGAAGTCTTAACAAACACAAATTTTAATTTCTGAAGACTCCTCCAGTAAGATTTGTAAAGGTAGAGGAAAAATTAAGGGACTTGTTTTTTTGTATTTCTGGTCTACTTCATTAAATTATAATCTTCAAAGAATGTTTCAGGTGGCTATCCAGCCTGCTAACTAAGGTTAGGATAAATGCATTGCTTCTTTCCAGGGTAAAGAATGCTATTTTAAAATAACAGAATTGCTGACATAACTTTTTCAAGGATGGCCTCAATTGAAAACATTAGAATATTTAAGAATCCTAAAGATTGGTGTACTACTGCACCAGAATTTCTTTTATCATTCCAAGGACTATAAGGAATTTTTTTCCAAACATTCTATGAAGAAAAAAGAAAAATAAAAAATAAAAAAAAGAATAAAAAAAAAAGGAATTTTTAAATAATTTTTAAGGTTACTGAAATTAAAGTCCAATAAAATAACTGACTTAGAAACTATAACAAGAGTACAAATATTTAGCCATAGATATCAGTTCCTCCTAAAAAAGAATATTCACCTCCTCTCATTGAAATTGTTCTGAAGTTATGTTACTGATTTCAGATAGAATTTTAAATTAGCCTTAAAATGGAAACAAAAAGACTAGTTACACTGACCAAAACTACTAACATGCTCAAATTTACTGACAGAATCATAGGTACAGCATACAATATTATTAAATAGTCTCTAAGATGTTTTAAGTAAAATAAAAAAATTGCAAGTCTAGTCTTTCCTCTTTGAAAAACACTCAGCCACTTTTTTGTTGTTGTTTGGGGGTTTGTTGTTTTGTTTTGTTTTTTGACAGAGTCTCTGTGTCATCCCAGGTAGAGTGCAGTGTCATTGTCATAGGTCACTGCAGCCTCCAATTTCTGGCTGAAGCGATCCTCCTGCCTCAGCCTCCCCATCTGGGACTGCAGGTACCACCAGGCTTGGGTAATTTTTCTATTTTTAGTAGAGACGGATCTTGCTCTAGTGCAGGCTGTTCTCGAACTCCCGAGCTTAAGCTCCTCCCACCTGGGCCTCCCAGAATGCTGGGATCACAGGCATGAGCCACCGCACTCGGCTAATAAGAGAAATTTTTTCAGCAGGAAATAAAATCTGGAAAGCACGGTGTCCTCATATACTCACTAAAGGTAAGACATCAATATGCTGTCATGGATAAGCATAGCACTTGTAACACATTTAATAGTAAATCAAAAGAAAAAAATAAATCAAAAAAAATAGTAAATCAAAGTTAAAAGTCTCCCTAGCATGTAGGGCAGTAAAATCTCTTGTCACTTTTATGATATTATCACAATTTCTGCTGCTGAGTAGATAATAAATTCTAAGCAATTCTTGGGACCTAAACATATCTATTAAAATTGAAAAGAAATTCTATTCCATGGAATCACCTCTCAGTTTCTATCTGAGCCATATTTCAGTCATTAAAGTTCCTCAAACTTGTCTCACTCATTTCTGTGCTTCTCATATTTTCAATGAATTAATGATCATCGAACACTGAAGTGCAACTTGAATCACGGTGCTACTAGCAATAAGAGTATTGTATTGTAATTACTTAAGACAATCATTACAAATTAGGTTTTGGATCCATTTTCAATGCAAACTACTTCCCTAACTTCTGTCCACTATAAAAGATGGCATAGGTCTTCTTAAAAATGCATGGCTGGATTTAGCTAACTGGTATCAACTTGAGTAAATATGGTTTATAATGCAAACAACAACAACAAAATAAGAGTATTGTATTGTAACAATACAATGAAAATAAAATTTAAAATTTAGAATTCTACTTGGAATATTATCTATTTTTATAGCAATCTCAGAATGAAAAAGAAAAAAGCTATGTAATAAAACATCCATCAACGATTCTATATTCTACTTACATTGACACATTAAGTTTAATTTTCCTGGAGATAAAATTCTAGGCTGGCCTTTTTTATTTTTTTTTTCCTTCCAACACTTCAAATACGTTACTTTTTTCTTGCTTCTGTGACTTCTGAAGAGAATTCTGATGTGATTTTTCAAACTCGCTTCAATATATGTAAAATGTTTCTCTCCTCTGGCTTATTTCAAGGTTTTCTCTTTTTAATTAATTTTTCGCAGTTTCAAAAAGACATGTCTAAGTGTAGATTTTTGGGTGTCTATCCTCCTCTGTGTTTGCTCATCTCCCCGGATCTGTGGTCCGGTTCATCGACAATTTGGGGGAACCCCAGCCATTGTCGCATGGGAGGTTTCTTCAGCTTGTGGGACCCGCGGCCCCGGCCCTGCGGGGCTTCCTTCCCGGAACCGGGACGCGGACGCCACACTCCATTCCAGGGAGTAGGAAAAACAAAAATAAAAAAAACCTTCTTGGCCGGCCCACAGGGCAGCTCACGCCTGTCATCCTAGCACTCTGGGAGGCCGAGGCGGGCGGATCGCTCGAGGTCAGGAGTTCGAGACCAGCCTGAGCAAGAGCGAGACCCCCGTCTCTACTAAAAATTGAAAGAAATTAATTGGCCAACCAATATATATATATAGAAAAATATCAGCCGGACATGGTGGCGCGTGCCTGTAGGCCCAGCTACTCGGGAGGCTGAGGCAGGAGGATCGCTTGAGCCCAGGAGTTGAAGGTCATAGTGAGCGAGGCTGACGCCACGGTACTGTAGCCCGGGCTGACAGAGGGAGACTCTGTCTCAAAAATAAATAAATAAAATATCCGTCTTACCAGTTAAGCGGAGAGGTCCCGCCGAGACTCGAACTCGGGCCGTCTGATTCGGAACCTGCGCGCTTACTGTCACCCCCGCGGTCCGCGCATGCGCGCTGCTCGGGACCAGCCACGCCCTCCTCCGCCTCCTCCCAGAGGGGACGGTAACCCGCAGAGGCGGATTGGCCGGTCCTCCTTTGTCTCTGCCGCGCTCCTACACGTCTGTCGCGTCATTGCCACCACAGGAAGTGACGTGCAGGCCCGGAAGGGGCCCTCGCCGCCGTGCTCCTCATCCGGTCGCTCCTTCCTGCGAGCCCGCCCAGCGCCCGGGCGTGGGCGCCGCTCCTCGCCGTCGTGGCTGTCTGTCTCTACCAGCGTGGAACCCCTGGGTGACAGCATCGAACTCCCTGCTGTCACCTTGTTCCTCACAGAGAGAGCTTGTGGCATACTGTTGGTGGCCACGAACATTTATGACCCGTGAGGGAACCCAGGGTCTTGCTCTGTCGCCCAGGCTGGAGTGCAGTGGTGTCACCATGGCTCCAGCGACACTTCTGCCCCGGTGTCCCGAGAAGCTGGGACACACGCATGTGTCACCACACCCGGCTAATTTAATGGGGTCTTGCTGCGTTGCTCTCAGGCTGATCTAGAACTCCTGGGCCTCAAGTGATCCTCCCATCTCAGCCTCCCAAAGTGCTAGAGTCAGAGGTGTGAGCCACCACACCTGGCAGAGAACATTTCTAGATCTGAACTGATAAAAGCACATTTTCCTGGTTTGCACTTTGAATGTGTCTGATTATGGGATAGGGCATCTCAGTGAACTCCTTGAGCAGCCCGTGCAGCGGGCATGAAGACTGTCCTCTAAACTTTACACTGAAGTGTGGAGCTCCGGCTTGTAAGGCTTCAGGAACAGGGCAGATTACAGATAAAAAAATTTAAGGGCCACAGACAGGACTAGGATCCAGTATGTACAAAGGTGCACTAGAGTTTTCTCCCGAATAATTTTTACTTCTCTAGTTGCCCCTATTGTTACCAAACAACCGCAGTAAGGCTAATGTGTTTACAAAGTCGCTCTAGTCTCATTAAACTTGACCTGATTACCTACATAAGAGCAGCGAGGATAGTAATTGACCATAAGGCTCTTTTTAAGTTTGCTTTGTTGGAACATGCAATAAGAAAATTCAGATGAGGCTTCTAAAAACCTTTCCGTGCTAGGAAGCCAAGCCAAGGGATTCACCATCCAACTTTGCCTCCAATATCTACAGATTTGGGTAAATTCCTCCCTTCTCAAGGTCCCCTAAATGTTTTTGATGTTCCTGGGCCTTTCTTCCGTAAGGTGAGGGAACCCTTAAAGACAGGTACTGGGACAGTTGTTTTTGTTTTTCCCCCAAAGGGCTATATTGCCTCCATAAAGTCAACCTTATTTCTTTAAAACTGGTCATATCTGATTCTGTGACCATTTTCAAAGTTGACATTCTGTTCAAAGCTGTGGTAACATAAATCAATGTTTCCAATTATGTCTTATTACAAAGGAAACAAATTCTTTTAATTTTTTTTGTTGTTTTGTTTGTCTACCTGCTGTAGAGACAGGTCCTCACTCTGTGACCCAGGCTAGAACTCCTGGGTTCAAGTGATCCTCTTACCTCAGCCACCCAAGTAGCTGGGATTATAAGCTTCAGCCACCACACCCTGCTGAAAAGACCAGATTCTTATTGAATATATGCAAATGACTAAATTGCCATGCGTTTGGGGGAAATCCCAGGACAGCATAGAAAAACCACCCCCAAACTGAGAGGAAGACAAGAGACCAAAGAATGACTCAGACAAGCCCAGCGTGGTGAGTTAGATGATTTTAATGGAGGTCACTCACATAAGGAAGCAAACTGAATCAGTCTCTCTTCTCCCCTCCCTCACCCCTCTAAAGGGAAGCAAAACCTTTTTGTTAACTTTAAGACATTTCCCAGTGAGGGCGACTGGGCAGCACCAGAAGGGGTGAGCAGAGCGGCGGTGAAGCACACAGCGGGGCTTCGCATTTCACCTTCCACTTGACATGGAGACTGGAGAGGGAAACAGAGGCCGCCAAACTTCAGGAAGAACAGAGCAAGCGGCTGGTGCCGTTAACACGAAAATTGGCTTGTTTGCCTGTGACAGAGAGTCACCCAAGGGCTGGCCAGCCCAGTATGGCAGAGTTGAGCTTGTTTTGAAGCAGGGGTTTGTCTGTCAGACTGAAGCCATTTCAGAGGATCTGTGAGTATGGAGGGAAAGACTTTGGGGCTGGGGGGCGGGAATCAGATTTGAAGGCGAGTGTGATCTCCTGTCAGGAAAAGGGCATTTGCACTGCCCGTGCACTTCTCTTTTGCAGAGGGGTGCCCCCCCCAGCCCACTCCTGGGCCCTGCTCAGTGATGCGTCAGTGGCGGTCAAAGCGGGGTGCAGTTCCTGGTTTCTTCCTGTCTGAGCCTTCAGGGTAACTCTTGTCTCTGAAAAGTTATTCTTATAATCATGGCCACTATTTGGAAAACATCTTTTTGCTCTCAGGGCTCACTGCCAGCCCCACTTTCTCTTTTCTCTCTCCTCTCCTCATCTCAGTCTTTTCCTAGAGGAAATGTGGAATCTGAGGACGGTTTCCACGTTTTTGGAGTTTATGCCAAATACACGGCTGACTGGGAGATAAAAGCGCATTGCTGGTGTCAGGATGTAAATTAGTAAAGAGGTGAAAGGCTTCAGACAGTCATGAAAGAAAAAGTGCTGGATTTTGACGTTGGCTTTGAGGGGTTTACAGTGTCTTCTGACCTGCAGCCTCCCAGAGAGGGAGCCGGGGTTAAGGAGGGAGGGAGTTTGGAACAGCCAGCCTGAGTGAGTGCAGCCAGGTGGGAGATGGGGCAGAAGGGAGAGAAAGAGGCAGAGCAAAGAGAAACAGCGTCTGGACAGTGAAGATAGTCAGGGAGAGGCAGGAGTAAGAAGTAACATGTGGCAGGTAGAGTGAAAATCCGGAAGTTTAGCATGTTCAAAGAAAGCCTGAAATTAGAGGATGCTAAGGCCCCTCACTGGGCCAGCAGCCATAGGTCAAGGAGCAGAATGGCGTTATGATTAAGAGATCGATTCTCGGGCAGAATTTGCTGGTCATTTAACTTACAGTAAATGCTTGGGATGGGGTCAGTGAGTCCCAAAGTTCCAACCCAGTGTCGCCCATGGTGGCAACCGGGAGAAAGAAAAGGGGAAGCACTTTAGGAACAACCACATATCGAGGCACTGAGAGTCTGGGTGGGGCATCCGCATCTAGGTGACCTTGGAGGTGCTGATGGGACATCAGGCACCCCTGGTTCCCAGTTAGACCTGGAATGCAACATAAGGTGCTGGCCAGAAGGGGGCACCCCCAGTCTTTGTCCAGAACAGAATTCAGAGAGGAGCTTCCCCAAGCCAGGCATTCTTGGCTCTGGGAAAATTGGGGAAGGAGTGGTAGGAAGGCTCCTTCTCAGGCACTTTTCCCAGAGTGGCAGACAAGTGCCAAACTATTCCCAGAGACCTGGACACTCACCAACAATGAGGGCTCTGAGAATGAAGTCCCAGGAACGTCACCAGGGCGGGCGCTGTGAACTGCTGAATTGCATCCTCTCTCTCCTCAGCAGCAGGCTGATGAAAGAAGGGGCGGTGGATTCCATAGAGTTGGCTCCCTGCCTGTCCCTGCGGATGGGATCGTCGCAGCGGCTGTGGCTCTGCCTTCAGGACACCACTGAGGCTTGGAGCTCACACCTTGCAGTTTACTCCTGAATTCCGAGGTTGTAGAAAGCAGATTCTCAAAAGCAGTTTTAAAAGAGAAAGATTTACATTTTCTTTCCATCTTTTCAGATATTTTAAAAAACAGAACCCCACAGGGAGCCTGTCAGCTAAGAGGGAGAACGAGAGAGCTTATGATTGACTTTAGCCCATTCTGTGGGTTAAGCAATTTCCTGCTACTCACTAGCAAGTGAGGCCATCCTTCCAGCCACAGTGAAGCGAGCCCTCCCTATTCCCCCTTCCTAGGCCCTACCTTCCCCACCCCCACCAGGCCCCGTCAGACATGTGCAGGAAGCCCCTCCATGGGGCAGGGCCAATCACTGGTGGGCCCGGCAGGTCTCAGGTTTCTTAGAAGCCCATGAAGGAAGTACCCTTGTGAGTGTAGGGAACTGTCATTTCACCGCCTAAAATAAAAATATCTGGCCCCTGGTAGCCTAGCACCAACCCTTTCAAAGCCTCCTTTCTGTCTCTTCCTCCAGGCTGGCACAGATCCGCTTCTGCACCCCTTTGGACCCCTGGACTGGCTTCACGGTCCACAGCTGGGTCAGGCCTCTCAGAGGAATGTTCTTTCCACTGTTACAAAGGGGAGAAAACATCACAGGGGAAAAGCCTGACCCCGGTTTCATACGCCAAGAAACTCAATCACACAGGGAAAGGACCACCACCCCCCCAAGTCCTGTGTGAGAAGTCACGGAGAGGGGAGAGAGAAGGATGCAGTCCTAACACAGGTAAAGGAGGAGAAGGGGTGCTGTGCATATGTACCTGGGTATCACAGGACTGAGAGCAAAACTGGAAATAATTAGGAAATAAAACAAGCAGAATTCCTTTTCCTAAATTAACAGAAAGTCAGTTGTGCAGCCTGAGAACAGGAGTCCCGTCTCCACATGTAGAGCTGATGCCACTTCTCCACTCTGAGTATTTCAGTCTCTTACCTATGTCGGTAAACACACTCCAGCAGGAACACTTTTACTCTAGCTTTGAAGCATCTATTACGTGCACAGCACTATCCTTTGTTACTTTCACATAAAAGTCAAAACAACCACACAATCTATGAAACCTCCCAGTAAATCAATACATTTTATGATGTCACTTAGCCCTTTGCACTCGCTTGCTTTTTTCTCATCATCCACTCGACATTATCCACACTAGACATCCGAGTGCAAAGGGTTAAAAGAATAGAAACAATGACAAAAAAAGTTTGGTAAGTAGTTTCATTCTATAATTAAATATGGAGAACATAAAATATATTAAATATAATGTAACAAAATATGTCACTAAAGAAATATTCATCTCTTCAAATTAATTTCTGAGCACCATTAGATTATATAAGCCATTAGCATAATATATGTGTATATTGCATTCAATGTAAATTGAAATAAAAAGGAAAACTTTTATGTATTTATTTAGTTCAGAAAGGGAGGATGTGCAAAAAAAATGAGGGGAAAATTATATAAATAATAATTTAGAATTTAACAAATATGTTTTAATGTGTCTGTAAATTATTCTCTACTATAATCTTTACTATAACCATCATACTATCCCAATAGTTACAAAAATCAGAAAATAATGTAAAATAGTAACTATGAGAAACATATTCCTCAAAATATAGGAATTTTAATTCCTTGGGTAGAAGAAAAAGGGATTACTAGAAAAACCATTCCACTGTGTTACCCAATAAAATATTATTTACATCTATTAACCACAATATTGGCTATGATGGGATAGTTTAAGGTGGATAAAATAACATTCCATTCATTGCACATCAATGTTAAAACATTAAAAAAAGTTAGTTTTATTAATTAAGACAAACTATTTTCACACAATGTCTATAAAATACATTTGAAAATCCATTATATGCTTATTGGTTAAAATACAGTTACAAGAACAACAGAAGTATTATTTTTCTTTGAATATGGTAATATCAGAGTTACAATTTCTCCATTTTAAAAGAGCGAGGCTAATTATTTAGTAAATGCTGATATAAAATACATGTACAACATTCCAGACAGGAATCATCTTTGTTTTTCTCTGATACCTGTGAAGATGTATTTACTTCTATCACATCCAATGATATTCAACTCTTCTACTATGTTTTCTATCATATCAAATAATACCCAAGTGTTCTACTTCATTCTACTATAAAGACATCTCAATATATTAACCAACTGGCCAGATTTTGCTACTTGAAGAACAATTGACAAAATAATTTACTTAGAAAATTCAGAATGTTTCTCTCCTTTTTGATACAGAAAAATAATACACTGGACATGTACCATGTGCATAGATACATCACTGCTTTATAATCCAAACACAAAGAGCACATTCCTTAGGGTTTCTTCGTATATTTTACATTTGCCATTATCCATCCATGACAAAGCTGATATTAATGATGTCCACCTGATATAGAATGTTGCCTAGTAGCTCTGATGCAGAAACAATAGATGACATATTTTCATATAAACACAACAGATTAAGGCATAAAACCAACTGATTTGAGACTTGAATTACATCAATACTTTTCAAACACCTCAAATACTGTCAATACAAATAAAGTATTACTTGTATTTGAGTCTAATTATAAATGTCCAAATATTAATGTTCTTGTTTCTCTGAAACATATGTATCAATTATATAACTGGTTTTTTTTTGTTTTTTTTTTTTTGAGACAGAGTCTCACTTTGTTGCCCAGGCTAGAGTGAGTGCTGTGGTGTCAGCCTAGCTCACAGCAACCTCAAACTCCTGGGCTCAAGCGATCCTGCTGCCTCAGCCTCCGGAGTAGCTGGGACTACAGGCATGCACCACCATGCCCGGCTAATTTTTTTTTTTTTTTTGTATATATATTAGTTGGCCAATTGATTTCTTTCTATTTATAGTAGAGACGGGGTATCGCTCTTGCTCAGGTTGGTTTCGAACTCCTGAACTCAAACAATCCGCCCACCTCGGCCTCCCAGAGAGCGAGGATTACAGGCGTGAGCCATATATAACTGTTTTGACTTTAGATTGTTCTCTGTAATAAATACTCTGGTTTGGTGTAAAGTTTTAAAGTGTCTGCTTTAATCCTTTTTTGTGAATCCCTTGATACAATTAGGTGAATTTTAATTAAATACTTCCCTTACTTATTGCATCTGTAAAGTTTCTTTCTCTAGGATCTTTCTTGCAATTTCTTTTGTTTCTGATAAAATGCTTTCTTTATTTATTACATCTATAGAATTTTTCTACTATGAGTTCTCTTATGTCGGCAAAGAGTTGAACTAAGGTAAAAGGCTTTTCCACATTCTTCACATTTGTAAGGTTTTTCTCCAGTATGGATCCTCTGATGCTGAATAAGACTTGAAGAATGAGTATAAGATTTATTGCATGCTTTACATTTGTAGGGTTTTTCTCCAGTATGAATTCTCTGGTGCTCAGTAAGATTTGAACCATAATTGAAAGCTTTGCCACATTCTACACATTTGTAGGGTTTCTCTCCAGTATGAATTCTGTGATGATGAATAAGAGTTGAATAACGAGTAAAAGATTTACCGCATGCTTTACATATGTAGGGTTTTTCTCCAGTATGAATTCTTTGGTGCTCAGTAAGATCTGAACTACGGTTAAAGGCTTTGCCACATTCTATACATTTGTAGGGTTTCTCTCCAGTATGAATTCTTTGATGTTGAGTAAGATTTGAACTGTGATTAAAGGCTTTGCCACATTCATTACATTTGTAAGGTTTCTCTCCAGTGTGAATTCTCTGATGCTGAATAAGACTTGAAGAATGAGTGTAAGATTTGCTGCATACTTTACATGTGTAAGGTTTCTCTCCAGTATGAATTCTCTGATGTTCAGTCAAATGTGAACTATGATTAAAGGCTTTGCCACATTCCCTACATTTGTAGGGTTTCTCTTCAGTATGGATTATCTCATATTTTTTTAGATTTGATGAATGACTAAAAGCTTTCTCACATTTGTTATATCTGTATAAGTTTACTCCAAAATAGATTCCTTGATGTTGACTATTATTTGATGACTGGGTAAAACCTTCTAAACAGTTATCACATTCATATGACTTCTCTTGAACTTGAATACAATGATGGAAAATAAGCTCTGAGTGTTGATGAAAGACTTTGTCACATTTTTCACATTTGCAATGGTTCTCTGGAAAATGAATTTTCTGATATTTTCTAGGACAAGAACCTTGGTCAGAGGTTTTCTCAGAGTTAGGACATTGATAATTTTTGCCTTCAAGATAAATATCCTGGTAATGCCTTGGGGTAGAGCCCTGGCCACAGGATATTGAAGACTTGTTAAAGGTATGATGTCTTTCCCAATTATCTATTCCTGGATATTGCTGAAGCAATGATGAATGGGTAAAGACCTTCACATACTGATCAAAGTTGTAGATTTTGGCGTGGTTTTGGTGGAAGTGTAATAAACTTTTAAAAAATGGCCCATCAAATTGATTACATATAGAAATCTTCCCTTCATTTTGAAATCTCAGATCTTCAGAAATATTTGACTGAACATTTAACCCAATTTTACATTTCAATCGATCCAAATCGTTATTTTGAATATGGCCTAGCTCACTATTTAAATTTTCCAAATTTTCTTTCTGATAAAATTTATGTTCCAAATGTTGACATTGATATTTACTTAGAGAGACATGTGGTTCAGCAAAAGTAACTGAAATAAATGGAGATTTATTCCAAAATGGTTTGTGTATTTGTTCTTTTCTGTCAATGGTGTTTTCATTACAGGTAGTTGTCCTACATTTTTTATGTCCATCATAACATACATTCTGTCCTTCAAACTCACCCTCACTTTCCAAGTCTTTCTTTAAGTGTATATTTTCAGGGCCATAACTCTCAAATAGTCCCAATATTACTTTCTGGAATGGAGCTTCTATGCATTGCTTTTTCTGCATACCTTGGGTGTAATGAGAAAATATATCTGAAAGATATCAAAAATTTTTTAAATTCCAATTACCATATTTGGATGAATGTACTTTACAACAACAATAACATGCCAAATAATACCAAGCTGAGACTATCACCACAGTGGCTGAACCAAAAATCTGAGGCCCTTGTTTCCCTATTGATGTATACCATTAACAAAAATATGCTACACAAAAACCAATTCAGTTTGCAGTACCCTCTGTGAATGAAAGACCAAGAAGATACAAATTAAGTAAAAAAAAAAAAAGTTTATACATTTATGAACCACAGCAGAGAGGAATCAGGGGGAAAAAAAATTCCCACTCCTTGTTTCTTCCTCAGGAAACAAAGAGTGGAACATGTGTCCAAAGGTCTGAGTTTTTCTGGGGCTATCTAAAAACTGGTTATTTCTCCCTTTAATATGAAGTGCTAAAGTGCATAGAGATATAGTTCAAATTATAGATTCAGTCCACTGAAAACAAAGAAGAAAATCTGTTACAGCCACAGAGAGACTGCACTACCAATGACATTTGCCAAGGTAAATAAGGTAAATAAATGCTTTCAAGAAAAAGCATAGAGAAACTCCTTTTTAAAAGAAAAATAAACAGTAGTTCAGAGAAGGCACACATTACTATCAAGTTGAAGGAAACCCTAGTGTGGCTCAATGGTGTTAGTTTTTCCCATATAAAGCCATTCTGCAAAGGATGGGAAAGGTAGTTGTTTTTTATTTATTTATTTTTTGAGACAGAGTCTCACTTTGTTGCCCAGGCTAGAGTGAGTGCCGTGGCGTCAGCCTAGCTCACAGCAACCTCAAACTCCTGGGCTCAAGCGATCTTCCTGCCTCAGTCTCCTGAGTAGCTGGGACTACAGGCATGCACCACCGTGCCTGGCTAATTTTTTCTATATATACTAGTTGGCCAATTAATTTCTTTCTATGTTTTATAGTAGAGACAGGTCTTGCTCTTGCTCAGGCTGGTTTCAAACTCCTGACCTCAAGCAATCCACCGGCCTCGGCCTCTCAGAGTGCTAGGATTACAGGCGTGAGCCACCACGCCCTGCCAGTAGTTGTTTTTTAAATGATCAAAATCTCAATAAAAATCACAACACATCAATAAACAACGAACCATGGTCCAATCAAAAGTCAAAAATAAATATTTAAGTGACCCTAAAGAAGTGAAGATCTATGAATTATTTTTAAAAGAATTTAAAATACCTATCTTAAAGATGTTCAATCAGGCCGGGCATGGTGGCTCACGCCTGTAATCCTAGCACTCTGGGAGGCCGAGGCAGGTGGACTGCTCGAGGTCAGGAGTTCAAAACCAGCCTGAGCAAGAGCGAGACCCCATCTCTACTACAAATAAAAAGAAATTAATTGGCCAACTAATATACATAGAAAAAAATTAGCTGGGCATGGTGGCTCATGCCTGTACTCCCAGCTACTCATGAGGCTGAGGCAGTAGGATTGCTTGAGCCCAGGAGTTTGAGGTTGCTATGAGCTAGGCTGATGCCCCGGCACTCACTCTAGCCTGGGTAACAAAGTTAGACTCTGTCTCAAAACAAAACAACAACAACAAAAAAAAAGAATAGTCCTACAAAAAAATGCTAAAGGGAGTCTATTATGTTGAAAAATGAAATGATGCTGGACAGTATCATAAAACTATATGAAAATATAAAGCTCCAAGTTCAAGGTAAATCCATGCACAGATATAGAATTCTTTACTATTATAAGGATAGCAAATAAAACCCTTAAAATTCTGCTGTAGAATTTTAAAAATATAAAAGTGGAAAAATTCTCAGTAATAGACATACAATATAAAAAGTTACAATTCATGACATTGATAAAGTGGTAGAATGTGAAGAGGTAGTTTTTTGATATTCAATACAAGTGAAGTTGCCATAAGATTACAATGTATTTTTATAACTTTAATGTTTTATGTAATTTCCATTTTTTCAAGGTGATCACCAAGAAAATGCCTGTAAAAGGTTTGCTAAAGGAAATGGGAAAGGAATCAAAGTTTGTCACTACAAAATCAACAAAACAAATGAAGACACTAGAAGTGGACATGGGGGAAATACAGCTATAAGAAACACAGAATGTATAAATTAACAACCAACAAGATCCTACAATATGCTTCCTACAAAAGATTCACTTTACCTCTAAGGAGTCAAATAGGCTGAAAATAAAAGGATAAAAAAAAATATTCCATGCAAATAATAACCACAAAAGGGTCAGGTAGCCATGATTAGATAAAATACACTTTAAGTTAAAAAATTTCCACATAGGCAAATATTCACATTATATGATGGTAGTATGTGTCCATTTGCCAGAAATCTATAACACACACACACACACAAACAGGGCTCCCAAATATAGGAAGTAAATATGAACAAAAGGATAGCAATTAATACACAGCAACACAATAACTGTAGGAGACTTCAAGCCCCACTGTCAATAATAGAAAAATCACATAGAAGATAAATAAGAAAACAAAATTTGAACATTATAGACCAATTAGACCTAAAAACCATATACAGAGCTCTCCAGTCAAAAGCAGCAGAATACACAATAATCTCAATCATGCATGGCACATTCTCTTAGGAATCACAAGCCATCAAATTTAAGAAGACTGAGATCATACAATGTAATCAGAAATCAAAAAACAAAAATGGCAAATCCACAAATATGTGAAAATTAAAGTCACTTTTGAATATATTCTGGCTCAAGATGAGCCAGATGATTTAATATTGACAAGATGGAAATATGAACACACAGTAACATACAAATTCAGCGTAACCCCTATCAAAATCCCAGTGACACTGTCTTTCTCTGCCACTGCCAAGTTAGATGAACGTGTTCAAGATTCAGCTTCACCCACAACCCAGCATATGGCCAAGGGACGAGCTGCTGATGGAGGTATAGTGGACATTAATACTGCCTTACAAGAGGTTCTGAAGGCTGCTGTCAACCACAAGTCCTTGTAGGTGGAATTCAAGAAGCTGTCAGAGCCTTAGACAAGCACCAAGCCCATCTCTGTGTACTTGCATCCTACTGTGATGATCCTATTTATGTCAAGTTGGTGGAGGCCGTTTGTGCTAAACACCAAATGAACCTAATTAAGGTTGCTGACAAGAAAGGGGAATTGGTAGGCCTCTGTAAAACTGACAGAGAGGGGAAGCCCCATAAGGTGCAAGATATGGGCAAAGAAACTCAGACTAAGGATGTCATCAAAGAGTACTTAAAAAAAAAAATTTGCTCACATTCCTCAAAAAAATCTCCATGGTACTAACTATACTTTGTTATTTCAAAACAAAGCTACAGAAATGAAAATAATGTGGTACTGGCACAACGACAAATAAACAGATGATGGAATAGAATAGACAGCTCAAAATTAAACCCTGTGTGTATGATTGAATTATCTTTCGTGCGACTGCCATGACCACACAATGGGATAGGAGAGCAATTTCAACAAATGGTGTTGAAAATTAGATGTCTACATGGAAAAGTTAAACCCTTCCAATGTACCATATGCAAAAAAATCTTAAGTGAATTAAATACTTAAACATAAGAAATAATTACTATAAAACCCTTAGGAGAATATGAAGGGAAAAGATCATAATATTGATCTTTGCACTATTTTCTTGAATTGGACATCAAATGCATAAGCAACAAAGAAAATAACATAAAACTGGGACTACATCAAACTCCAGAAATTCTGCATATCAAAGGAAACATTTAGAGGCCTGAAAATGCCCTGTAGGCAATGGGTGAAAATATTTTCAAGTCACATATTTGATAAGTGTTAATATCCAGAATATATAAACAACGCTTACAACTAAAAAACAACAGAAAGTGAATAGTTTGATTAAAACGTGGACTAAGAATAGGAATGACATCTTCCCAAAGAGGACATAAAAATGGGCAAAAAGCATTTGAAAATATGCTCACAATTACTAACCTTTAGAAAAATGGGGGAAAAAAATCTCAGTGAGACATTACGTCACATCTATTAAAATGACCACAACAAAACAAGCAAAAAACAAAGGTGTTGAGGATGTGGAGACATTGACACCTTTGAGAATAATGATGCAGTCACTACAAAAAACACTATGGAGGTTTCTCAACCAATCAATCAATAAAATTATCATGCGATCCAGCAATCTCACTTTTGAGTATGTACCTAAAGTTTGCAACACATGACCTGGAATTGATATTTGTACACTCATGTTCATCGTGGCATTATTCACAAAAGCTGACAGGTATAGAGAAGCAAGCCAGATGTCCCTCCATGGATGAACAGATAATGTGTCATGTACATACAAAGGAATATTATTCAGCCTTAAAAAAAGAAAATGTAGTCACAGGCTATGATAACAACAAACTTTTAGAATATTGTGCCTACTGAAATAAGCCAGTAATGAAGTGACAGATCGTGCATGATTTCACTTACTCAAGATATCTTTAGTAGCCAAACTCATAAAAACAGAAAGTAGAATGTTTTTTTAAAAGTCTGGAAAAAGGGTGAAATGGGCAGTTGTTCTTTAATGGGTACTGAGTAAAAGTTCTAGAGGTCTTTGGCTTAAAAATATGAATATACCTACCACTACTAAACTTTAAAAAGATTTAAGATTGCAAAGTTTATGTTACGTGTTTTTATCATAAATATTAAAATATAAAAATATTATTAATATTTTTAAAAATAAAAGATATAATATAAAAAGATATAAAATATAAAATATAAAAATAATTAAAAGCGTTATAAAGTTATAAAGAGATACAGAGTTATAAAGCTTTCTAAAACTGAACTTGAAATCACATGTTTTTCTTACACAAAGAGAATACAGATTGATCAAGGAACACATGTTGAAATGGAGACTATTCCCATGACTACTCACCTAGACAGGATAAAACAGCCATTGCCAAGCAAGCCAAAAGAAGAAAAATACAAGATAAGTCATGAACAATTTCGGAATCATATTTATAGATACAAACAAATGCATATATAATTTAATTGTGATATACCGATGCCTTGTTCATATTTAAATTAAATATAACATTTATTTAAAGTGTATATACAAAGTTGCATATTTTTATTGAAAATTACAACGAATAGGTAAAACCAAAAACACAATAAACTGATGACAATGACCCCACCCCTCAAAAGAAACACACAAATACAGTATTGCAAAACATAAATAAAAGAGACATTCTACCCATAAAATTCTGTATGCAGGATTGATGTACCATTAAATTGTTTTTCTATAAACTACAATATTCATCTGTGACTCTTCACCCATCGGGAGTGGAAATTTTAAATCATTGGCATGCTGTGTATGGTAGTAAAATTTTACAGAAAATGAATTATGATTATTAGTAAAAGAAATTTTACTAATTAAAATTTAAGAAAATTTTAATAAATAAGCATTTAAAAGACACTAAAGATAACGTTTTATTACGTTATAATATATGGATGCTATTCTTACACAAAATGAAAAGGACATTATTACGTTAAGTGAAATAAGTCAAACAGAAAGGCAAATATTTCATGTTCTCACTTACATGGCAACTCTAAGAAGGCTGAGCTCAGTACAGAAAAAAAAGTAACTGAGGTAATAGCTGTGTTCATTAACCTGATGGCTTTACTCATTTTACAATCTATAAATATCAAATTATTATATGATATACAAAATACATTTAAACAAATATACATATCACAGACACACACTCATGTATTGATATAAATGAATGATCCAGTCAAGGTAATCTTCATGCCAAACAGGAGATACTTATGAAATGAGTTATTAAAAATATAAGGTAAGTGGGAGTTTAATATACATTCAGCAATGTTTTATGATCCCTAATGACAATGCATATTTAAGAAATCTAGGAAGTGAGTAGGTCCACTAAACTACATTACAATTGAAGAATATGAAAATAAAGAATTTAAATTATTAATCTCTGTTCATACTAAAAATAAAATTTTGAAGTAAAACAACATTAGATTTCTTTGTACATTTAGAGAGATTATCTTAGTGCTCTGATAAAATTACTGAGTACAAATTTCTGCAAAATAATGATACATCCATATGATACAGAATAACATCCATATGATACAGAATGTTAAAGCAGAAAATGTGCATTTGTCACTGGTGGTCCTGAGATTTCTGAAGCAAACATCAACACCACCAATATTTATACAAATTTCAGAGGATGCAAAAAGGAAAAATTTTAAAAAAATTTAAAATAGAGTCCCTCAGAAATATGCACAAACATTCTTATGTCCCCAAAAGCAATAAAAGAGCACACAGGTCATGCAGTCCCTTATAAGCCATGAAGAGGACATTGGCTGTCACTGTAATCTTAAAGGAAGGTCATTAAAGGGACGTAGAGTCCTTTGGAAATTTTAGAGCATAGGACAGAAGATGTTCCTATGTGAGAGCAAAAGAAACCCAAGCTTCTCAGAAACCACTTCCATTAAAGCAGAGCTTCCCAAACCACACCGTAGGGTCTAAGATTAGACCTTCGGACCTCTCACCTGTGTCATCTGCTTCATCTATTCCCACCTACCTGGGTGTGTGGATACTGCCTCATGTCTCTTCACATTCCAGAGCTCTTGTCTTTGTTCCAGAAAGGTGATCAGGTACGGCTTAGAGGCAGCAAGACCTATTTTATTAGAAAAAAGTAACGTAACTCTTGCTAAAATTTTCCAGTTACCAATGTAGTACTGTGCTCAGTAGAGCAGAGAGAACATTATAGAACACTGTAAAAAACTCAAAATACTGTTTCCTGACAGAACCATTAGAATACATGGGGAATATTTAGAATCTGTGGATCATGAATTTGTCCAGTATTACTGAATCAAAAACTGGTAGTTAAAAATTGGATTTTAAGGTCTGGACAATGAGGTTTTATACCACTGAATTTCTAGACTTGTCACCAATCTACAGTGAGGTGTACAGATCAGTTCGAGCAAGAGGAAGGTTCACTTCAAGACAAAACATCTTGAAGATTTTCTTTTCTACACCAACAAGTCTCCAAGTTTTCCTTGAAAGCAGGGATCTGAAAGTCATTCTTATAAGGCAGAAACTCCCAAAAAAAACTTTCACAAAGAAAGAAAATGAAACCCTAAGGGTCCATTACGAATCTTACGGGGAAGTTATTCTCACCCAGGGAGAACAGGTTTCTGTAGTTCTCTAACATCACATCCCTGTACAAACTCCACTGAGCAGGGTCCAGGCATGCCCACTCCTCCAGAGAGAATTCTACGGCCACATCCTTGAATGTCAACAATTCCTGGGAAAAAAACACATATTTAACAAACAGCCACGGGTAACATTCTTAATCTGACTGTGAAATGACAGTGAAGAGAACTGCCTCTGACATATACGAATGTCTGCAATGATCCAATAATTAACATGGTGATTCTCTCTAACATATTGCCTAACTCTGAGGACAGAGGATGGCAAAAAGATCCACAAAACAAGTGTAGATAGTATACTTGTCTAAATGATAAAGTATAAAATTGGCCAGGTGTGGTGGCTCACGCCTGTAATCCTAGCACTCTGGGAGGCCAAGGCAGGCGGATTGCTCGAGGTCAGGAGTTCAAAACCAGCCTAAGCGAGACCCCGTCTCTACTAAAAATAGAAAGAAATTAATTGACCAACTAAAAATATATATACAAAAAATTAGCCGGGCATGGTGGCGCATGCCTGTAGTCCCAGCTACTTGGGAGGCTGAGGCAGAAGGATCGCTTGAGCCCAGGAGTTTGAGGTTGCTGTGAGCTAGGCTGATGCCACAGCACTCTAGCCTGAGAAATAGAGTGAGCCTCTGTCTCAAAAGAAAAAAAAAAAAACTATAAAATTAAGGGCATCAACACAGGCATATGCACTTTCGAGTGGTATATATGCATCACGTATGATAAGCTGTGTATGTTTCTCATAGGGAAAACCATGGTGAGTTAGCAGGGTAACTCTAAAATCTTAATGTGCACTACAGTGAACTGGAGATCTTATTAAGCTGCAGATTCTAATTCAGGAGGTCTGGAAGGGAAATTGAGTTTCTGCATTTCTAACAAACGTCTCAGCAATGCCAACTCCTTTGGCCCTAAAAGAATATTTTGCCAAACAATCAGTAAGTGGCAGAGCTTCAGTTTTATCCTAGTTCACGTGACCACTGAACAAAGATGAGAATCTTCATTTCCCAAAGTACACTGTACACAAAGAGAAACTAAGAAGAAATGGGAACTTCCAGATTAAATGTGATGATTTATATATACATCAGCCAGTAAAATTCCGCAAGATACTTATTAATGATAAAATGCAAAATAACTAACTTTATAGTGGAGGGCTCTGCCAGAGAGCACCCTAGCCAAGTGAATCAGCACCAGCTGTGGGAGGATGAATTGGCAGGAGCTGCTGATGCACACAGGAACGTCACTGCTCTGAGATTACTGGCCAAAAGAAGTGAATCATAATCTGAATGTTATCATGAAAAACGTTAGTTTTATGTAAAGTTCAAAACACATACATTTCCTATGTTCGCCAATCTCTAGTAGTGTATTTAAAGTCTTTATCATCCTAGAGAGCACATCTCTTCTAATTTCTCTTTTTCAGAACTTTCTGAGAATTGCCTTGGGCAATTAATGTCATCTTCTTTAAATGTGAATTTTTTTTTTTAGACAGAGTCTCACTCTGTTGCCCAGACTACAGTGCCGTGGCCAGCCTAGCTCACAGCATCCTCAAACTCCTGGGCTCAAGCGATCCTTCTGTCTCAGCCTCCCGAGTAGCTGGGACTACAGGCATGTGCCACCATGTCCAGCTAATTTTTTCTGTATATTTTTAGTTGTCCAATTAATTTCTTTCTAGTTTTAGCAGAGACAGGGTCTCGCTCTTGCTCAGGCTGGTTTCAAACTCTTGACCTTGAGCGATCTGCCTGCCTTGGCCTCCCAGAGTGCTAGGATTACGGGCATGAGCCATAAATGTGCAATTTTGGAGACAAGGTCTCTCTGTTGCCCAGGCTGGAATGCAGTGGCATCACCATAGCTCACATCAACCTGGGCTCAAGCAACCCTCCTGCCTCGGCTTCCCAAACAGCTGAGACTGTAGGTGTGGGTTACCATGTCCAGCTGATTTTTCACTCTTGCTAAGGTGACCTCAATTACCCTGCCTTGGACTTCCTAAGCGCCATGATTACAGGCATGAGCCATTGTGCTCAGCCCTAAGTGTGTATCTTTAAATCTTATTTGACATAGAGGTGATGGGGCATCAAGATAGAACCTCAACAACACCTATTTTCCTTCTTCACTGATATCTGGGGATCCAACCCCACACCAAGAGGAATCTTGGGTATCCACACCTCCCCCTGCTGATCTGTCCAGAGAAAACATTTTCGATAGCACAGGTAATAATTTCACGATAAGAACTGTTCTTACTATGTAAAAAGTCTGGATGGAGAACACCGAGAGAAGGTTCTGGTAGATAGGAGAAAAGGATTTAAAGAGTCCCTTGAAAATAATAAGAAGAAATGGGACTTAAGTAGTTGAGACAAGCTTGTTAGAAACTTCAGAAGTAGAGAAAGAACAGTTTGCAAGTCCTCAAGACATGACATTCTAGAAGTAAAAGCAGGACATATTCCCTTGACCTGGGAGATACTTACCTGAGAACCAGCCATTTCATCCTCTTCCTTCTGCCTCTCTAAGGTTCCTTCTCAGCTGAGGGTATCTGCACAAATCGCAGCTGCATCTTGAGAATGTGCATTTCAAGGCATCAGCACAACCGCTTCATCTGCTACCACCACACCCACAGGCAGAAGGACCTGGAAGTGCAGAAAAGAAGACGTTGACCTGCCCTTTGTCACAAGAGAGATTCAGGAACACTGAGCTCCTACATAAAGACCAACATGTGGGTTTCTCCTTTGCTGCCCTTAGGTGGCCTACTCTGCCACAGACACCAGCAATTTCTGCTGCAGCAATCAGAATATGGGCGACACCAACCCACCCACCCCCACCAAACACAAGCAGAGCTAATCCTGTGATCTCCCTTTAGATAAAAGGGTGAATGCAAGTCTCAAGAATGGATCTGGGAGTCCACGTGCCTGACCCTGGCCTCACCTTAGAATCATGTGTGGCACTTAATTAAAACCACCTGGATGCTCCCTCCCAGACCAACAAACAGAATTTGCAGGGAGATTCTGTCTGTGGTAAGGGCACAGGTGATGGTCTGTCCTCACACTGGCCATGTCCTAACTGGAAGTCTGGGCTGAGAGTCCTTAGCTGAGCATTGCCTCTCAAGCTTCAGCGTGCGTAGAAACCATGTGGTATCCGGGCCCAGTCTAGCAATGGGATTCTATAGGCCTGGAAGGGATCCCTGCACGGGCTTCATTAACAAGTCCCTGTTCATGCCGATGTCGCTTCCCCTGACCTGTTATCGCCAGCACTCAGCTAGACACAGCAGGCACAGCACAGTCTCTTACACTTGAAAATCCTAGCAGATGTAAAAACCAAAGATTACAGAATGCGTGTGGTGAAGCAGCCCAACCTTTTCGTTTTAGCTTGCTGCCTCGTTTTAATTGCTGCGGGGAATTTTGTGAGTAGAATGATTAACAATCAGAGCCATAGCACTGGGGTAGAATCTGACAGCTGCGACTGGGATGACTCCCAAGTGCATTTGGACTTCTTAGGGAAAAAAAATGTTACAGAACTATGGATAGAGGAGAGTCAGCAATTTGGAAACCTGAAGGGATTTTCTGGACCTGTTTTGGGTTGATGCTGGTGAATATAGCAGTTTTACAAAAGACAGAGGTTTATTATCATAAACCTGAAAATAACTAAGGTTGGTTTGGTGGCTTGTTTTCCTGAGCATGACTTCCTATCAGTGGCTCACACACACACCCCTGCGTCTCACACCCTTCTTCCTCTCCTCCTCCCCCTCCCCTTGGAGAAAACATTTCTAAGCAGGAACCAGGCTGGCACTGCTTCAGTCCCTGGGAGCTGGAGGTCTGACTTCTGGGGAGGGCACTTTAGAAGTTACTCTGGGTTTCTCACACGCTGGGAGGCAAAGGCAGCAGAGGACTAGGGCTTCATGCCGTACTACAAAGGGGGTGGGTCTGTGATGGCAGCTTGGGCAGGAAAAAGGCCCCACTCCTGTGCGATCCATTTCCTAGTGGCAGAAGTGACTGCTGACACCACAGGGTCCTTCTCTCGCTGATGCGCACACAGCACCCCATGCTGAGGTCTCCGTAAAGGGTGGGGCCCACACCTCTTCTATTCAGAACTTTTGGTGGAACAGGGGTGAAACTTTGGGAACTCCCTGCCCACTGGCATTTTGCAAGGTTGAATGCCAGCGGCTCAGATAAGCAAGCCAGTCCTGGTGACCCCTGGACACGAGATGGGCACAGAGGAACGCAAGGGACAAGTCTGGGAGCTGGACTCAGGTGCAAGGAAGCCTGCACAGACATATGTGATGAGAGAGTATGTAGAGGAACAGCCTGGCTCTGGTTCCATGGCAACAAATACCTCACAATCAGGCACACCTGCTGACCTGTGCCACAGCCCCTCCCCCTACTCATCACAACAGGGAGAGCAGTTTGAGCTGAGCAGCTCAGGAGTGGCCCCTTCCCTCTGGCAGCAGGTGTGTGTTTTTGGCTGAGCTCCCCACAGATAAAGAGGCCCGAGCCTCTTCCTTTGAGGACCTGCAGTGGGACAGGGTAGCACAATCCGGGAACTCCCTGCCTGCTGGGATGCTGTGGAGACACACTAGTGGGTCAGACACACAGACGGGGTTTCAGAACTGGTCTCGAGCGGTGAGGGAGCACACACATACTGAACTGATGGGAGTGTGCTGCAGCAATTTTGGAGAGGGCCCAGCCCTCCCAGCAGAAAAACTGCCCTACTGTAAAAGGGTGGAATGACCCCAGCCCAGGGCCTTAGCACACAAGCATTTAGACCCTTCCTCCATGAACACCCTTCCCGGTTTGGAAAGCTTGTCCCATCCTTCCTTCCAGTGGCGCCCCCTAGTGGCCAGAAAAGCAACTTCTGAGCCCCGTTGAGGCTTTGCGAAGCCTTTCTTTTCCATCTCTCACCACCAAGACACGAAATATCTTGCTCTGCCCCCCACCGCTGTGGTGGTCGAGATAAAGCAACCCCCTGGGAGGTACAGCTTCCCTCCTAAAGCTTGGGGCACTCAAGTACTAGACCTGGAGGACCAGAGCCAGCCAGGAGCACAAATGAACATTTCAGCAGCTGGCCCTTCCACACAAACCTCAAACAATCACAGGGAGAGAACAACTCTATAGTTCATCACAGCATCTTCCAACTCAAACAGGGTGTACCTAATTCATACAAGTACCACCTGTCATCTCAACGATTAAGCTGGGGGACCCAACACAATTCAGACTGCTGGGACGAGGTGAGGACAGCAGGACAGAGGCAAACTGAGAGAATCATCCAACCTGTCTGAACAGCCCACAGGCAACTGAGGACAAGCACTCAACTCTCTAGCAATGGATACCAAACAAAATGAAAATATTGAAATGACAGATAAAGAATTTCAAATATGGATTTTAAGGAAGCTCAATAAAATACAACAGAAAATTGAAAACTAGCAAAATGAGAACCACAAAAAACAATGCAGAAAATGAATAAAAAACTCACTATAGAAATTGAATTATTAAAAAATCAAATAGAGGCCAGGCAAGGTGGCTCAGGCCTGTAATCCTAGCACTCTGGGAGGCTGAGGCAGGAGGATCACTCGAGGTCAGGAGCTCAAGACCAGCCTTGAGGAAGAATGAGACCCCATCTCTACTAAAAATAAATTAGCTGGACAACTGAAAATATATAGAAAAAATTAGCCAGCCATGGTGGCACCTGCCTGTAGTCCCAGCTACTGGGGAGGCTGAGGCAGGAGGATTGCTTGAGCCCAGGAGTTTGAGGTTGCTGTGAGCTAGGCTGATGCCACGGCACTCTAGCCCCAGCAACAGAGCAAGACACTGTCTCCAAAAAAGAAAACAAAAGAAAGTGGAAGGGAAGAAAGAGGAAGGGATGGGTGAAATCATACCTAATGGGCACAATGTTCATTATCTGGGTGATGGGCACACTTATAACTTTCATTCAAGCAGTATAAAAGCAATGTATGCAACCAAAATATTTGTACCCCTGTAATATTCTCAAATTAAAAAAAAAATTCATGCAGGTTTTTAACTTATTATCATATTCTCTCCATTCTAAGACTTACAATTTAATGTTTTTTAAAGTCTTAGAATCAATGAATATATGGAGCAACTGTTTACTCCCATCCCACTCCCCTAAAAACCTGTTAAACTGGCCGGGCGTGGTGGCTCACAACTGTAATCCTAGCACTCTGGAAGGCACTCAAGGCCAGGAGTTCTAAACCAGCCTGAGCAAGAACGAGACCCTGTCTCTACTAAAAATAAAAAACTAACTGGCCAAGTAAAAATATATAGAGAAAAAATTAGCCAGGTATGGTGGCGCATGCCTGTAGTCTCAGCTACTCGGGAGGCTGGGGCAGAAGGATTGTTTGAGCCCAGGAGTTTGAGGTTGCTATAAGCTAGGCTGACGCCATGGCACTCTAGCCTGGGCACAGAGTGAGACTCATCTAAAAAAAAAAAAAAAACTGTTAAACTTTTTATTTTTTATCCACATGAATTCTAGATCACCTCACTGTATTTCAAGACACCACCTCATTTTAAATAAGATGAGGCCAAACCTAGAAATTAATTTGGAAAACAAATGACTTTAAACAGGAGTTTCCTTAACCAGTATTATGGCATGCTTCCTTTATTCAAGTCTGTTGTTTTTCCAGTTGATCACTGTCATTTTCTCCATGTGTATCATGCACATTCTTATTAAAAATTAACATTTTGTATTTGCATTGCTAATGAGAATCTGGATTGTTTTCCAATTTTCTAACTGGTATGATTAGTATTATAAAGCTATTTTTTTTTGGATGTTCTAATGATACACAGTGATGTCTCACTGCAGTTTTGATTGCATTTCTCTAATAGCTAATAATGTTGAGTATTTCTTTGTGCACTCATTTGCCTTTTGTATATCTTGTCTGGTAAAATGTCTGCTGATGTCTTTTACCCATTTTGTAATTGGTTATTAGTTTTTGTTTATATTTCTGAAAGCTTTGATTACCTTAAAAATCTATCATCTTACCATATTGTTTTAGTTGACCTTCTGAGGTAAGCTGTATTCATTCAGATGTACCATAGCAATAAAATAATGTCTTTTTCTCAATGATTAAAAAAATTGATTAGAAAGTTTACAGAAATTTTAACATTCCCTAGCCTCAGGCTCTTCCATTGGTATTGTGTTTACCTGTTTGGGAAACATCAGCTTTCTCCTTAAAATAATAGCGGAATGTGCCTGCACCTGGACAAAATATCTACAACCAGCTCTCTTTAAAGGCAATATTCTAGGCCAGGCCAGTGGCTCAACGTCTGTAACTAGCACTCTGGAGGCGAGGCGGTGGATACTCAAGGTCAGGAGTTCGAAACCAGCCTGGAGCAAGTGGACCCCATCTCTACTATAAATAGAAAAGAAGTAATTGCCAACTAATATATATAAGAAAATTAGCGGGCATGGTGGCATGCTTGTAGTCCCAGCTACTCGGGAGGCTGAGGCAGGATCACTCCAGCCCAGGAGTTTGAGGTTGCTGTGAGCTAGGCTGACGCCATAGCACTCTAGCCTGGGGAACAGTGAGACTCTTGTCTCAAAAAAAAATAAAAATAATAAAGGCGATATTCTTCATTATTGCCAAGGCCTTGGAATGTCAACATCAAAGATCACGGCCTCCAACACGGAAACTTTGTTTATTGGAAATAAATAAAAAATTCCCTCCAACACTATTTGAAGGAATCATATCTGGTATTGTTGAACAATCCCTGTGCTGCTCAAGAGCAATGTCTCTTAGGATATTTTGTCACCCCCCTATCTGAAGAAACACAACACTCTACTAGTTCCTACAAACTTTTCTCTAGGCATGACCGCCAATCTATTTTAGATGGGGATTGTGTTGGAGGAAAAGAGCTAATTATCTTCCTGGCCATCAAGAAGACAGCTCCATGAGTTTCAATGGGGAGATACTTTTGCCTTAGTTGGTGTTACTTCTCTTCCATAAATGGTTAGAAGTCTTTCTACAACCTTAGAAAAAACTGCTAATGAAACTACAGCCTCCATTCAGTACAATTAAAAGCTACTGATTTGGCCAGGTGTGATGGCTCGCGCCTGTAATCCTAGCACTCTGGGAGGCCGAGGCGGGCAGATTGCTCGAGGTCAGGAGTTTGAAACCAGCCTGAGCAAGAGTGAGACCCTATCTCTGCTAAAAATAGAAAGAAATTAATTGGCCAACTGATATATATAGAAAAAATTAGAGGCATGGTAGCACACGCCTGTAGTGCCAGCTACTCGGGAGGCTGAGGCAGCAGAATTACTTGAGCCAGGAGTTTGAGGTTGCTGTGAGTAGGCTGACGCCAGGGCACTCTAGCCTGGGCAACGAGTGAGACTCTGTCTCCAGAAAAAAAAAAAAAAAAAGCTACTGATTCTCTGGCTGAGGAGGGTACTAGGCAATCACATTGCTTTAGATTATACATTACCTGAGAAAGGAGGTGTATGTGTGCTGGCAAACACCTTTTGTTGTGTAGTTTCCATGAAGTAGGATCTCATCTACAAAAAATCAGAAAATAAGCCAATTGGCTAGAACAAATCTTTAAAGGGGAACCTGGACTGAATTTTTGTCATGATGTTTTTAGTTGGCTTCCAACTGGAATAGGTATTTTTGTTATTTTTCTGGCATACAATTTTTTATGCTTATTTACATTACATACATACTATTCAAATTATTGTTATGTATTGTTGTTTTACTTCTTCCAGGAAAATTAAAATCATCATATTCCAAAGAGTAAAAAAATTAAAGCAAGTAACAGCCGTAAATCAATGACTTGACTGAAGCTGTCTCATTTTGGCCACTCTGCCAAGACCATCCCAATTTGGCTTTGGGTGCTCCTAAAATTCCTCACTAAAATGTCTCCTCTTCCCCCTGTCCCAATGTCAGAAAGATTTATATGGGAATGACACTTCTTGGCAACAAGGAACAGCCTGATAGTTAGATTTTGCTCAATGCTTTTAAAAAGAAAGATTATGATCAAAAAGGAGAAATTATTAAAAAAAAAAAAAAAAAACATTTATTTGAGGAATTCAAGCCTCCTTCAAATGATCGGGTCCAGAGAGGTACAGGAATTAGGCAGCAGTCATCATGTCTCACTCCCCACCTTGACCCTTGAGCTAAGAAATCATCTCAAAAATCTGTTTGCCATGTGAATGATGAATGATACCACAAGCAGCTAGCGTCGCATGCCAAGCACCATAATTCACACCCTACTGCTCACAGCCAATCACTAATCAATGTTATTCCTCTGATGAAAATTCCTGACAAACAATTTCATATTGGCCGACTCCTCTCCCTTTCTGCCTTTAAAATTCTGCTTTTATAACAAAGACCAAACAGAGCTCACATCCAAGGTTACTTTGGTCTGAGTCTTCCAGGCAACTATTCTCACATGGGCTCAAGTAAACTCCTGAAAATTACGTTTTGTGCCTCAGTTTCTTCCATTAATGTCAATGAATTTATACAGTGTGAGGACTTAGGGACAAAAGCAAGAACATTGTCAACAGCATCTAAAAATAAATTTCCAACAACTCAGGTCCCGTTAGCAGCGGAATGGGCAAGGAAATTGGGTGGCCTACAGCTGCAGACGGCAGCATAGGAGCCACAGAACCAGGCACAGAAACAACAAAAAACTTTTTGGCATAATATCAATGGAATATTAAAGGTAACATTAAGTCACTGAAAACTCAAAAGAGGAAAAACTGAGCAAAACGCTGCTTCATAATAAATAGATCGTTAAAGCTACAAAGACTAAGAACCAGCACTGCAGTCACCTCAGGGTGCGGAACGTAGGTGAGATCTGGGGGTCTCAGCACAACTGCCCAAGGATGGTGAGTCCATGGGGGATTGAATCCTCATTATTTAAACTCGGCATAAAGCAATTTACTTCAAGAATTTTCTTTGCTTCTTCAAGCCTTATCACTCAATCCACTCAGATTTTCAAGAAAATAAAAATGTTACACTTAAATCACAGAATAAAACTGTTAAATGCTTGGGTGAACTGGCAGTACATGGCAGCGAGGTTTTATAAAAGAAACAAGGAAAGCAGCTCACGTGAACAGCTTGTTTCCTCCAGTTCGCAAGGAACCCCGCACGCAGTAGATTAAACACGCTCCCCAGCTTGGGGACCACTCTCACCATGGAGATGCAGCCCAGGGTGGCTCACTCCTAGGTAGTGAGAGAAACCTGAGCAGTTGGGAAATTTAATTCTGGGAGCCCCACACATCCTGTCCCCTCCTCACAGCATGGAAACACCCCCTCCTCCAGGGTCCCCAGCACGCACAAACACACCCAGAGTCATCTCAAGGTCTGACCTGTGATGTCTTTTTCTCACCCTTTCACAAGGGTAGAGATTGCTCAACACCAACCAAGTCTCCAGCACCAAAACTGCGTGTCCAGAAAT